TGTGTGTGTGTGTGTGTGTGTGTGTGTGTGTGTGTGTGTGTGTGTGTGTGTGTGTGTGTGTGGTGTATATATGGGGAGTAGTAGCAGGGAGGAGGCAGACAGTAAACATGTGAAAAAATAAATAAGATAATTTCAAGTAGTTATAAGTATTATGAAGATTATAAAAATGTTAAGGTGGAGGTGCTTTAACTGCTGTTATCAGAGAAGGCCTGAGGAGCTAAAGTATTGAATTGAGGCCTGAATGATGAGAGGAATTAAGTAGGTCGTTCGATTTACATTTGGAGCCCAAGGGAGTGACCTGGATTGAAGACAGAAGTTTGAGAGTCATCATTGTGAACAAGATATTCAAAGTCATGTCAAACACAGTTGAGAAGTCAAATAAGATGAGACCTGAGGGTTGCTCTTTTCCTTTAGTCAAATGTGAGTCATCAGTGACTTTGGTAAGAGTTGTTTCTGTGTAAAAGTGAGGGAGAAAAGCTTTATTAATAGATTGAAGAGAGAATGGAAGATGAGGAAATGGAAACAATAAGAATATACAAATCTTTGAAGGGTTTTGCTATGAAGGAGAGGAGAGTAGGGAACAAAATCCAGTCTATTCAAAGAAGGATATTAGCGCAGGTTGTTATGCCAGTAAGAATGATTCAGTAGAGAAAGTGATGGTGTAGCACGGCAATAGGATAATTGCAGGAGTGCATAACAAACCTAAAGGTAAAACACAGAACTATAAAACTCCTAGAAGATAACATAGGAGAAAATCTAGGTGACTTTGGGTATGGCAATGACTTTTTAGATGCAACACCAAAGGTACAATCCATGAAAGAAATAATGGATAAGGTGGATTTCATTAAAATTAAAAAATTATTCTCTACAAAAGATGCTTTGAAGAGAATGGAAAGATAAGTCACATACTGGGAGAAAATATTTGCAAAATATATATATGAGAGGGAACGTTTATCCAAAATATACAAAGAACTCTTAAAACTCAGCAATAAGAAAAACAACCCAATTAAAAAATGGACCAAAGACTTTAACAGACCTTACTGAAGAAGATTCATATACAGATGGTGTATGAAAAGATGCTCCGCATTGTGTGTCATCAGGGAAATGCTAACTAAAACAACAATGAGATATAACTACGCATTTATTAAAATGACCGAAATCTAGAACACTGACAACACCTAATGATGGTGAGGATGTTGAGCAACAAGAATTCTCGCATTCATTACTGTGGGAATGGAAAATGGTACAGCACTGTGGAAGACAATTTGCGGATTTACAAACTAAACATACTTTTGCTGATATGATCTAGTAATCTCACCCCTGATATAGTACGCCCTCACTTAACATCGTGGATAATTTCTTGGAAATTGTGACTTTAGCAAAACAATGCATAATGAAACCAATTTTACTGTAGGCTAATTGATAGAAACAGGAGTTAAGTTCCTAGGCATATTTATGGTCACAAAAACATCACCAAACTTCTAAATAAAGACCCCAAACACTTCTAATACTAAACATTGAAATAAATGTGAGGTATACATATATTTAAGAAAGATAAATAAAAACAGGTAAGATAATCATTTCCAACCTGCTTATTCCAATTCAGGGCTGCAGGGGGCCAGAGCCTATCTCAGCAGCTCAGGGCGCAAGGTGGGAACCTGCCCTTGACAGGACGCCCTTTCATCACAGGGCACACCCACACTCACAGCCATGCTCACTCAGAGTGGGACAATTTAAACACATCAACTCATCTCATGTGCACATCTTTGGGATGTGGGAGGAAACCTCAGTACCCGGAGAAAACCCACGCAGATATGGGGAGAAAACTCCACACAGACAGTGGTCCTGGTTGGGAATTGATATATATTTTTTCTCATCAATGTTAGAATAAAATGATGCTGAAGTAAACAATATTATTCAAGGACCTGCTATATTTATCCAAATGAGTTGAAAACTTATGTCCACACAAAAATCTGCACATGAATATTTAACAGGAGTATGTCATTTTAAATTTGTCCAGATCCATAGAGTGCACAACACCACGAGTGACCCTAATGTAAACTATGGACTCTGCATGATAATGATGTGTCAATGATGTAACAGGTGTTCCACTCTGGTGGGGATGTTGATAATGGGGAAGGTTATACGTGTTTGGGGACAGGGGTGTATAAGAAATCTCTGTACCTTCTTAATTTTTCTGTGAACCTAAAACTGCTCTAGAAAATAAAGCCTATTTAAAAATAAAAGATGCAGATGGGTTAATGGAGTTTATATTAGAAAGATGAGGTAGTTTTTAGCCTACTGCATCTGTTTCTGTTTGAAATTTAAGATTTGGTTATCAACTGAGAGTGAGAGGGATTTAGGTATAGGAGAGGTGAGGAGAAAAGAGAAGGTGTGACTGGTCATCAGAGTGGTGAGCTGAATTTGCTGGGAAATCCTAGTGGTAAACTTTAGAAGAGTGACAATTTGAGATTTCTGGTCATAAATAGGAAGTGAATCTTAACTTTTTTTGGTAATGTTTCTTATAATGATATTTTGATTAATAGCAGTAGGAATCCCTATTACCTAGATTGTGGTCTTGAAATACCACCTTCTATTAAAAGAAACTAGGACTTCTTAGAGAAATGGCTAATGTCAAGCCTGGGGCAGACGTTTTCAAGACAAAATGGAACATCTTGTCATAACAGACCAAGGAAGCTATCAGAAACTATTATAGTCATTTTAAAAGGGCTCAGCAGCCAAAGTGAAGAGTCTTTCACTGGCTAAAAATGGGACAATTTGAGTTTCAATAATAAAAAAAAAATAACTGTGATGGATTAAGACACAAAATATCTTTAAATCCAGGAGTTCATATTGATCCAACACACACACACACACACACACACACACACACACTCACACTCACCCCTTTCGAAGGTGCAGGTATCCACAACTACCCCTTTACATACACACACACACACACACACACACACACTCACACTCACCTCTTAGTGGAAACTCTTGAAGAATTACAGCAAATGAGCTCTTTATTTTAATAACCAGTAAGTAAAGAGAAAGAATCAAGCATTTATCCTTTCCTTGTATCAGCTTTACCATTGGGTACCCAAACAATAGGTGTGGTAAAATTTCTCTTTAAAGAAGTGTTCCAGCTAATAAATAATGATTGATAGAATTGGAATATCACCATTTTGAACACTAAATGAATCAATGAATTTAGATATTAAGCATCAGCAGCAGCTAAAATCACAAAAGTATAAGGTATTATGCATTTTCTGATAGCACCAAACTATAACGTGTCTTGTAAAAAAATTGAACATGAATCTGATTAAGCCTTTAGATTCAATTACCAATTTTCTGAGAAATACAGAGTAAAGATTAACGTGTGAATCTGTACTATAAGGATGCAATCAGGCCAGCCGAGTGGCTCAGTTGGTTAAGAGCTCGCTCAAGAGTTTGAGCTCTGAATAACAGCGGTTCGATGCCTGGCCTGATCTGAGCTGCCGCTGAGCTGCCAACAGGTGGCAGGATGGCTCAGCTAAAAAAAAAGGATGCAATCAACAAAATCCAGATTTTGGGAAACTTTACCAAATTAAATAGTAGTACCTATGGATGGTTTGTAATTTGAATAACTATAAGGGAATGATACCATAAAAGTCAGGAGAGTGGTAACTCTTAGGAGGGAGGAGTTTAGATTGGGAAAAAGCATGTGGAGGGCTTCCTGGGCAGCCGACAAGATCCTCTGCTTCAAGTGATATTACGTAGAAGGGTGCTTGCCTTGGAACAATTCACTAAGCCTTACATTTGTCATATGTGATCCTCTGTATTCAAGTTATATTTAACAATATTAAAGTAAAACTATTAAGCAAGGTTAAGAAAATAAAATTTTTCTAATTTTAAAGTTAATTGTTAGGCTTTCCTAAGAAATGGGGAACAGGGGCAAGCAGTGTTACAGACTTCAGTTCACAGTCTAAATAATTGTTGCAAACAGCAACTAAGCTCACAAATCAAAGAATCAAATAAGTTCCACGTGAAAGGACTGCTTAGTATTCAGTCACTTCAGCCATTTCTAATACATGTTATCATCACACTTAATATCTAATAAATGGGATATACACTGAAAATGCCTGTTTATATATGCTTCATGTTGTTCTTCAAAGGGTTTTTATATAATTTAATGAAGACTGTAAATGAATATATGAGTGGAATTGGTAATACTATTTAAATACTCATTATAAAAATAATGAATGTTTAATTAGAAAACATTTAAGAACATGTAATCTAAGAATACTTTCATTGTAGATATTAGTATTTGTATTGTTTAAATTAACTTCTTCCTTATAACATTCCTATCCCTTATTTTTTTAAGGAAATTATTTTCACTAGTTTGATAAAAATGGAGATATATCAAGTTTATTTGAAAAATTTTTTAAATGTTCATGATAGTTTGACGAGTCTGAAGTAAATTAAAACTACTTCTTTTTTTCTGTCAGAGGTCTCTTTATTAGTATCTATGATCGAGGGCATATTGCTTCAATTCTTAATGCATGGCCAGAAGATGTCATCAAGGTAAGTTATCAAATTTTCCCACTATGGCAAATTTGTTCTTTTTCCTGTCCTGTAACATATTGACATTTTTCATGACATTAGGTAGCATTCACTAGCTTTTCTTTCTAGTGACTGTCACCTGATTTATATTTCTTTGATTTTTGCACAGTGGATTAATTTTATGCTGATACAATTTAGATACTAACTTTCCCCATTATTTTCATATAATTAGTATTTCCTTATTCATTGTCAGCAATGATAAATGTTGAATTAATGTTGAAATAGCATATGAATTTCCTTAAGCAAACTCCATTGCCATATTTTCTGTGTTTATTCATCCACTGAGAGGCGTCCAGGTAGGCAAAAAAGTCTGTTACTTAATTTCCTTGATTGTTGTAACCATAAGTAGCTCACCTGACTTCCCTCTATGAGAGAATTAATGAAAATAAAATAACAGTATTATCTGACATTTGTTAGTTTTCTGTCAGGGACGCTATACGTGGGTTAACTCTTGTAATTATCGTGAGCATTCAGTGAGGTAAGGAAGGCTTAGGTCTCACAGTAGTGTGTGGTGGTGGTGGCAACTGAATGCAGGCCCCTGAGCCCTTGCTCTTAAACATGGTGCTCCACCATCTTCCCTGTCTAAGGAAAGTGAGATGGATTTATCCCCTCTTTGGCTCCCCCTCCTTCTTTCTGTTAGATGTCCAACAACTCTGTGGTATCCTTTATGATTAAGACTGAATAGTGGTACAAAGGCACTTCAGCTGGGACTTCTGAAGTGTGACTCCTTTAATGATCTTTTCTGTTTGAACACTTGTGGGGAGTTTTGACTCACTCTGATCTTTAAGGCTCATGCTAGGCAAACTTGTAAAGCAAAATAGTTTGTTTTTACTATTTCCAGCCTTTCCAGGTTTTTCACTTTTTCCCACCTAAGTTGCTTCCTCAAGTTTTCTCCCACCAAGTGGCCTGCACTGTCCAAAGATCCTGTTCTTAGGAATTACCTTAAAAATGAGCTAGTTCTATGAAGCATAAATGTCTGGTCCTCTAAGAAGGACACTTACATTTAATCGGGACTCTAGAGAGGACTTTAAGAATGAGTCAGTCTAGGAAATAGTTCTGAGATAGAGAGGTCTAATTAGCACCCCTGTAATCATAATGGCGAGGCAATGAGCAGTGCCCTAGCTTCATGTCCTTCCCACGAGCTGATTAACTTTATTAAGAGCCTACCTGTGTCCTTTTGACTCTTAATACTGGATCCTCAATGATATTCCTGATCCTACCTATACCTACTGTTACTTAAAAATTCTAGCATAGGGTGGCAGCCATCAGCAGATTGCTTTGCATTTCATGCCAGGTGTCCCCTGAGCAGGGCACAGGCTGTAGCTGAACTTGGCCTGCAGCGGGGAGGGGAGCAGGGTGAAAAAGGTGATGGGATTAAGGAGTACAAATTGGCTATCATCACAAGACAAATAATAACAAGTATTGGAGCAGCTGTGGAGAAAAAGGAACCCTCATACACTGTTGATGGGAATGTAGATTGGTACAGCCACTATAGAACAGTATGGAGGTTTCTCAAAAAATTAAGAATAGAATTACCATGTGACCAGCAATCCCTTTCCTGGGTATCTACCCTCAAAATCTGAAAACACTTATTTGTAAAGATATATGTACTCCAGTGTTCATTGCAGCATTATTTATGGTGGCCAAGACATGGAAACAAACAAAGTGTCCTTCAATAGTTGACTGGATAAAGATGTAGTGCGTATATACAATGGAATACTACTCTGCCATAAGAAAAGATGAAATACTGCCTTTTGCAAGAACATAGATGGATCTTGAGATCATTATGCTAAGTGAAATAAGTCAGACAGAAAAAGTTGAAAACCATATGACTTAACTTATATGTGGGATATATAAAACTGAAGGCAACCAAGGAGCAAGACAAGCAAATAAAGAAACAAAAACTCATAGACACAGACAACAGTTTAGTGGTTACCAGAGGTTAAGGGGAGAGGGAAGTGTTAGAAGAGGGTAAAGGATGTCAAATATATGGTGATGGAAGGAGAACTGACTCTGGGTGGTGAACACATAATGCAATATAAGATGATGTATTATAGAATTGTATACTTGCAACCTCATTAGTTTTGTTGACCATTGTCACCCCAATAAATTTTAATAATAAAAAAAGTAAAAATTAGTAGTTACAAAATAGTCATGGGGACGTAAAGTAAAGCATAGGGGATACAGTAAATAATATGGTAACATCTATGCACAGTGCCAGCTGGGTATTAGACTAGCCAATGGGATCATTTCTTAAATTATGTAAATGTTTAACCCCTATGCTGTACACCTGAAATTAATATACAATAACATTGATGTCAACTGTAATTGAAAATTTTAAAAAGGGATAGGAAAGGTGAAGGGGAATAAGAGGTTCAAATTTCCAGGTATAAAACAAATAAGTCATGGGGATGTAATGTACAGCATGGGGAATATAGTCAACAATACTGTGATAGCGTGGGACAGTGTCAAATGGTTGCTGGACTTATCACGGTGATCACTTTTTTAGGTATATAAATGTTGAATAACCATGGTGTACACCTGAAACTAATATAATATTGCATGTCAGCTATATTTTAATACAAACCTTGAAAAGATTAAAAACCTAGCATAGTGTCTGGCACATATCAGGCACTTAATAAATGGGAGCTATTTACTGTAATAGAATAGTGAAGAATAAGATGTATGCTCTACTGTGTAGTTAAAAGCATACCTGAAACAAAATCAATCAGTTATTAGACAATATTAAACTGTCTGGTATAGATTACAAGTGCCATATTCACTCATTCAGAGAATATCATTCAGAGAAGGCTGGAATAGTTAAGAAATTTTTCTAGTCAAATTGGAACTTAAATCGAGCCTTTAATAATTAAAAAGAAAATATATTGTCTTAAGAAGGGAGCATATGAATGTAGGTATCAAGTTTAAGAAGAAAATGGTGTGTTCTTGTGCAATAAGGAAATTGGATGATCCAATTAAAGATAAGTATTAATATTGAAATGGAGTGTAAGTAAGGTTGCTTAAGTAAGAGGTGGTCAAATTATTATGAATGATCGTGAAATTCATAAAGAGGGATTTAGACTTGAAAAATAGAATGTCATAATTATACAAAGAAATGAATTTAAGTAATATTTGAGAAAGGTTCATCAGAGAGAGAAGAAAAGGAGGCAAGAATTCTTCATCTAGGTAAACTACAACACAAGTGTAGACCCTGGGAAAGGAAAAGAAGGAATGAAGTCAGGACATGGGAGTATAGTGAGAGAGAGAGAAAGAGAGAGAGAAAGAGAGGGAGAGGGAGGGAG